AACTTACAAAAGTAATCTTTGCACAGAAAAAAAGTAAAATTGATTACATTAGGCCTCCTATATTTTGTTCAATTATTTTTTAAATTTTTTAGATATTTTGTTTATTTATTTGAGAGAGAGAGAGAGCTGAAGCAAGGGGAGGGGTAGAGAGATAGGTAGAACCAGACTCCCCATTGAGCAGGGAGCCCAACGTGGGGCTCAATCCCAGGACCCTGAGAGCGACCAGAGACAAATGCAGATGCTTAACCCCTCAATTATCTTTTTAAAATAAACTAACATTTCTAACATGGACACCCTCCCTTAAAAAAAAAAGAAAAGAGAGAGACATGATAACTAAACACAGTGCACAATCCCTAATTGGTTATTTGATTTTTTAAAAAATAAAAAGCAGCAGGGGGCCTGGCTGGCTCAGTTGGAGAACCATATGACTCTTGATCCTGGGGCCGTAAGCTCTAGTCCCACACTGGGTGTAGAGATTGTTTTTTAAAAAATTGAAATTTTTAAATTTTTAAAAATCAAAAGCAGCAGCTGTAAAGGACATTATTGAGGAGCGCCTGAGTGGCTCAATCATTGAGGATCTGCCTTTGGCTCAGGTCATGATCCCAGTGTCCTGGGATCGAGCCCCACATCAGTCTCCCTGCTCTACGGGAAGCCTGCTTCTCCCTCTCCAGCTACCCCTGCTTGTGTTCCCTCTCTATTCTCTGTCATAAATAAATAAAGTTTAAAAAAAATAAAATAAGGGGCACCTGGGTGGCTCAGTGGGTCAAAGCCTCTGCCTTCGGCTCAGGTCAAGATCCCAGGGTCCTGGGATCAAGCCGCGCATCGGTCTCTCTGCTCAGCGGGGAGCCTGCTTCCTCCTCTCTCTCTCTCCCTCTCTCTGCCTGCCTCTCTGCCTTCTTGTCATCTCTGTCTGTCAAATAAATAAATAAAATATTTTTTAAAAATAAAAATAAATAATAAATAAAAGACATTATCGGGACAACTGTTGAAGTGTTTAACATGACCTTTATAGTATTGTATGTTAAATTTCCTCCGTAAAATGATGCTATTGTAATTATATAAGAGAATCTCCTTACTCAAAGCGATGAATGCTAAAGTATTTAGAGATGCAGTGTCATAATTTCTGCAACTAACTTGCAAGTGGCTCAGGAAAAAAACTATCCATACACAGGCCTAAATATAAAGGTGGTGGGGGTGGGGGGATAGAGAGGGAGAGAGATACATTGAGGGAAAGCCAAAATGTAACAACAGGTAAGGGAAGGATATCTGTGGAAACTATCTTGCAATTCTTGAGGTTGGAAATTTTTCCAAATAAAAAGGCAGAGTGAAGATTCCTACCCAGGCCTCTTGTGCTGCATGTATGGGAAGATTTCCACTGATCTGAAACCGGAGCTGTCGTTCAAGTCACTATATGATGTTTCTGTCCATCTTGTCATTATTATAAACCTAGATCCAGTGTCTGCTAGTGCTTTCCTAGCACTCAAATCCATCCATCACCTTCTCCTCCACTCTCATCCTAACATCCCAATCTTTTTTCAGATTGCAGCAGTCTCTGACGTGGTCTTAGCTTCTAGGTCACCCCGTTCATCCATTTGCCACATTCACAGCCAGAACAACGCCCCCGAAAAGTAACATGGTCACTCTGCTGCTTAAAAGGTTTCAATGGCTTTCCAGCGTGCTTCTCTTGGCTTTCATGATCCTTCTAATCCCTGCTTGCCTTTGGAAACACACACACACACCAGCGCATACACAAATTTATTTTCTAATCACACTGAACTTCTAGCAGTTTCTGGCACATTTATTGTTCAGTCTCTCTCAGTACTGGGTCTTAGCACCTGCTCATCCCTCCTCTAGAACACTGTCTCAGTGGACACCTGGGTGGGTCCGTTGGTTAAGCATCCCACTCTTGATTTCAGCTCAGGTCATGCTCTCAGGATTCTGGGTTTGAGCCCCAAGTCAGGCTCCACGGTCAGTGCAAGAGTCTGTTTATCCCTCTCTCTCTGCTCCTCCCCCGACTTGCACTCTCTCTCTCTCTCAAATACATAAGTTAGTTAAATCTTTTAAAAAGTAACAATCAGGTAAATAAATAAATCTATAAAAATATAAAAACAAAACACCATCTCAAGCCAGGCTGATTCCAGCTCCTCTTTCAAAGATCCAGCTCAGGGGCACCTGGGTGGCTCAGTGGGTTAAGCCTCTGCCTTCTGCTCGGGTCATGATCTCAGGGTCCTGGGATCAAGCCCCACATTGGGCTCTCTGCTCAGCAGGGAGACTGTTTCCTCTCTCTCTCTCTCTCTGCCTGCCTCTCTGCCTACATGTGATCTCTCTCTTTCTCTGTCAAATAAATAAAGAAAGAAAACCTTTAAAAACAAAGATCCAGCTCAAACATGTCCTCCCCAGTATGTGCTATGGTGAGGGCTGTGAAGTGTGTAAACCTGGCGACTCACAGACCTGTACCCCTGGGGATAAAAATACATTATATGTTTGTAAAAAAATAAAAAATTTAAAAATTAAAAAAAAAATGTCCTCCCCTGGAAATCATTCTTGGACCCACCCCAAAGCTAGGGGTACTGTTTACTGCACTTCCCACACGGCTTTGTAAATGCATGTTTTCCCGATGTCCCATGCACTAAGGACTCTTAGAGTACGTGGGCTGAAGCTTATCTTCAAATGTTCGTGAGTGTTTAACAGAGGACGCAAGGGAACAGGCTGAGGAAACAAAGTGCTCTTTCCCCATTCCTGTAGTGGGTTCGTCTTATTTGCAGTGGCCATGGACAGCCAACAAAGCGTCTGTTCTAGAAAGCCGCCACAATCGAGCAGAGACAATCTAAATTGTCTCTTCCAAGCATACACATTGGGCTCACCAGAGCAAGGAGGCCAAGAGTTAAAGAATTGGGAAATCGAGTCAGGAAGTTTAGAGCTGCCTCAGGAAGACATAGTTGGTCATACTCCATCTGGCCTGCCTTCAGGACTCGGCACATTTTCCTTATTTTCCCTCCCGTTCCTGGGAGTCAGATAAACTAGGGAGTCAATTACCTTCAGTCCTGCAGCGATAAACCAAGGGGAGGGACTTCAGGGTCCAAATCGTGTGAGTTGTGTTTGTTATGAGATGGTTCACTAGGAGTTTTTCTTTCTTTCTTTTTTTTAAAGATTTTATTTATTTGTTTGTCAGAGAGAGAGCGGGAGAGAGAGCGAGCACAGGCAGACAGAATGGCAGGCAGAGGCAGAGGGAGAAGCAGGCTCCGTGACGAGCAAGGAACCTGATGTGGGACTCGATCCCAGGACGCTGGGATCATGACCTGAGCCGAAGGCAGCTGCTCAACCAACTGAGCCACCCAGGCGTCCCTATTTATTTCTTAAAGTAGGCTCCAGGGGCACCTAAATGGCTCAGTCGGTTGGGCATCAGACTCTTGATTTTTGGCTCAGGTCATGATCTCGGGGTCATGGGATTAGGCTCTGAGTCAGGCTCCCCACTCAGTGCGGAGTCTGCTTGAGGTTCTCTCTCACCCTCTCCCTCTGCTCCTCCCCCCACTTGCTCTCTCTCTTTCTCTCTCTCTCTCTCTCTCTAAAATAAACAAATAAATCTGGGATGCCTGGGAGTCTCAGTCATTTGAGCATTTGCCTTCAGCTCAGGTGATGATCCCAGCCAGGGTCCTGGGATCAAGTCCCGAATCGGGCTCCTCACTCAGCGGGGAGCCCACTTCTCCCTTTCCCTCTGCCCCTCCCCACCCCACTCGTCTCATTCTGTCAAATAAATAAATTAAATATTTAAAATAGATGAATAAATAAATCTTTAGAAAAGGTACTTTTTTTAAATCAAAATAAAATAAGCAGGCTCCACACCCAACATGGGGCTCAAACTCATGACTCTGAGATCAAGAGTCACATGCTCTTCTGACTGAGCCAGCCAAACAAACCAATTCACTAAGAGTTTTAAAGAATTTTAAATTAGGGGCACCTGCGTGGTTGAGTGAATTAAAGCCTCTGCCTTCGGCTCGGGTCATGATCTCAGGGTCCTGGGATCGAGCCATGCATCGGGGTCTCCCCTTCTGCCAGAGCCTCTGATAAGCTGAGGGCAAGAGGGTATGGGATACAGAGAAGGGCAGGGAGGGAAGAGACTTGGAGGGGCAAAGGAATACCCAGCACAGTCGTCAATATTTAAACACTTAGGAAGTAAGATGCAGAGCCCCACAGAGTGTATGGTCCTATTTTTATACAGCGAAGTCAATTCTCCCAAATATACCTATGTAATTGCTTGTATATGACTGCAGGAAGAGTGAGGGGCCCCCTGGCTGGCTCAGTCCGTACAGCACGAGACTTGATCTCGGGGTCGTGAGTTTGAGCCCTGTGTTGGGTGTAGACATAACTTAAAAGAAAAAAAAAAACAACTCTGTATTCACTTCGGCAGCCCATAAACTAAAACTGACTGCATAAGAAAGGAGAAAGGCAGGGGATTTTATACATGAGATTGTTAATATTTAGTTCCCGGGCAGAGGGTGGGGCAGGAGAGAAGACGACTGAAAAAAAAAAAAAAAAAAACAACCCAGGATATTTATGAATAGGAATTCTGAGTAATTTAACAAAAGAAAATAATTATTAAAGAAACAGCATGTCCAAGGAAGATAGATTATTGTAGATGCTGTTTCTAATGAATGATAAGATTTTGCTTCTAGGGGGTGGTTAAAGTAATTATGATGCAGCCATTCAGTGAAACACACACAGATACACAATGAACATAGGTGTTTATTACTATGAAAAGTGTTTACAAAGCACACGTCTAAGAAGTTGTTACAGGTAAGTGTATCAATACTCATAACCATCTATACCCGTCTCTATACCTACATATGTATCAATGTGTAGATCAGTGGTTATGCCTAGATCAGTCATGGTGGTTGTTTATAGTCTGTGGAGGAAGGATCCTGGGTGGGTTTGTCTTCTGTATTTTATTTTTTTCTCCTTGTTTTTTTCTACTTTTAATTAGGTGTATTTTCTCTTTTTTCCCCTAAATTGACTTTCATTAACTCTGTGATAAAGAATAAAATAAAACACGTATCTGAGCTCGTTAAACATGTGTGTTCAGTTTGTAAAAACTCAGAGAGCTGTATGCTTTTTGCTCCTTTCATGTTTATGAATCTTCAATAAAAAGACTACCTTTCAGGGCACTAGTGGTTCAGTCAGTTAAGCATCTGTCTTTGGCTCAGATCATGATCCCAGGCTGCCAGGATCGAGCCCCACATGGGCCTCAGGGAGACTGCTTCTCCCTCTCCCTCTCCCCTCCCTGCCCTCCTCTGCATGCATGCACTCCCCCTCTCTCTCAAATAAAATCTTAATAAAAAGTACAAATTTTACATCAATGGATTTCACATACAAATTCAAAATTCTATCTTCATTTGAACGAAATCTGGCTAAATTAGGCACACGTCCCCACAGGTAATGACTGCTGAAGCTGAGCAATCATTGTCCTTTTGGACAAAGCATGAGTGTAAAACTCCACAACCCCAAGCAGCTCTTCTCTCTTTCATGACACACTCCGGACATCTGGAGATTAATAACCTCTCCGAACCTTTTCATTTGTAAAATTCCTAAGGTTCTCCAGAAACTGTGGGACACGCCAGGAAAAATGAAAAACTGGGACTGAGAATAAAGGAAATGAATCTCAACTCTACTATTTACTAGTATGTACTGCTTAGCTTCTCTGAGCTTCAGTTTCCTGAACTTTAAAATGGGTATAATAATAATAATAATAATACCCACCTTACAGGGTTGTCAAGTTAAATGCATAGTATTAGACACAGAGTCACTCCCATCTCTATAGGTAGTAGAGACTAAGCTCTCCCCAGTATTCAGAAATGCGAAAAGAGGGTTCAAAGAGGTTAAGTAGTGCATTGACAGCAACTTGTAGGCCAAAGCTAACTCCCCTATTGCCCTTGTGGAGAAGGAAAGTCAGTCATCTGACCTGAAGGGTGGATGATGTTTCAAAGCTTGGGGACTTTGGATGATGAGGACACAGGTTCAGTCTGGAAGGCATCAGTGTTTAATCTTGAGTAACCTCGCCCCTGGCTTACGCAATGCTGGAGCCACTGACGTGATGATAGTGGTTTCACCTGAAAGGAAAAAGAAAACCCCTTTGATGTGCCCTGGGCCTCAAGCCAGAGCACTTGCTTGGCCTCCCGGCCATTGCTCTCCTCTGCCCACTCCCCAGTCACGAAGGCCTCCCACTCCCTAACCTCAAGCAACCAGAGCCCTTGAGCCACTCCTACAGGCTCAGGAAAGCCCATTATGGATTCTTCAGGAAGTTTGCAAACCGATTTTTTTTTTTTCACACCAGCCTCACCTAAAATTAAATTCTACTAAAAATTAAACGTTAAAACTGCAAAAATTTAGGGGTGCCTGGGTGGCTCAGTTTGTTAAGCCGCTGCCTTTGGCTCAGGTTGTGATTCCGGGGTCCTGGGATCGAGCCCCACATCAGACCCTCTGCTCAGCAGGGAGCCTACTTCCTCCCCAACCCTCCCTGCCTCTCCACCTACTTGTGATCTCTGTCAAATAAATAAATAAAATCTTAAAAAAAAAAAAAAAGTATCTGTAGCTGTACCATGAAAGCAGCCATACACAGTTTGTAAATGGACTGGTACCGCTGTGTGCCAATAAAACTTTATTACAAAAACAGGCATGAGGGGAAAAAAATAGACTGTGGGCCAGATTTGGACCAGGGACTGTAGACTGTCCACTCCTGCCCTGACAATCAATAAAACAAATCCAGCCTTGGTCTGTAGCATTTGCTGAATTCTGTGCTGTAAATAGTCCCCATGGCCAATTTCGAGCTACCACTGTGAGGTCAAATCCCTGAAACTTGGAGTTGAGAACAACACGTGACCAACATATCACACAGATATGATAGAAGCCGCCTCAAAAGCACAAGTAAAATGAAAAAGTGGTAAAATAACTAGGAGGTGGTGAAAGGTTACTACCTTTGTTCTTACCTTATTTTTTTTTAAGCAGGCTCCATGTCCCATGTGGTGCTCAAACTCACGACCCTGGGATTGACGCGTACTTTACTGATGGAGCCAGCCAGGGGCCCCCTGGCTTGGCATTTTCTGACCAAAATAAATTATTTGGGCAAGTTTTTGAGTCCCCACTTCCTTATCTATAAAACAGGAGCAATAATATTAAGTTGAGAGGATAACATGGGCGGAGGGCTCGACAGTGGCAAATCCAATGGGGGAGAGGTGCGGGCAGCGAGGGCGTGATCACGGGACGGGTTCTCTGGAAGCAGATGCTGAGACAAAGCAGGGGTAGGAGAAGATTTTAGGGCTTCACCTCAGTGAAAGGAAGTGGGGGAACCAGACTTGACAAGGAGCGGCAGGTGGCAGAAGGCCACCTTGGCCAGCCCCACCAGTGGTTCGAGACACACTTGCCGGTCAGTCTTCCCCACTGGAAATTCTCACGAGATTTCTTCTCCGTCGGTGCCCACAGTGCTTGGTCATGCCAGTGTCTTCCAGAACATTAAAGAGTGAAGAGGTAGACCAGACAGACTGGTGGGCAGCCGAGGAAGGTTTATTGAGTGACAGCAAAGTGATAGCACCAATGCACCCAAAGAGAGAGGTTGGGGACCCGAGGGGCTTGCCACCGGAGTTTTTATGTCTCGGTGGTTTTATGGGCTTGTTGACGGGGTGTTTTAATCTGACTAACCCTTGGGCACCTGTCATCCAATCAGATTTTTGTCACCTATCTATCATGGGAAAGGGAGGAGGGCTCCTTCCAGGTAGTATAAAACCCTCCTAAGGGGGCGCCTGGGTGGCTCAGTGGGTTAAGCCGCGGCCTTCGGCTCAGGTCATGATCTCAGGGTCCTGGGATCGAGTCCCGCATCGGGCTCTCTGCTCAGTGGGGAGCCTGCTTCCCTCTCACTCTGCCTGCCTCTCTGCCTACTTGTGATCGCTCTCTGTCAAATAAATAAATAAAATCTTTAAAAAAAAAAAAAAACCTCCTAAGGGGGGTTTCCTCTTAGGGCGGGGCCCCTTGTCCTGCATGCCTGCTTTCCAACTCTCCTTCATCATTCCCCCCTCCGAAGAGGTAATCCTAACTGCTATTAGGGGAAAAGGGCGACAACCGATGGCAGCTACCTCCTGCTGGTCAGGAGCCTTGGGTGGGGCGGCAGTCAGGGGTCCTCTCCTCCCAATCTATCAGGGGGTCCTCGGTAGATGTTTGGTTTTGACCTTCAAGTGAGGCTCCATCTGAAATACCATTTGGAGTTTGACCTTTATTCTGGAAAATACACAGCGGGTTACTTAGGAGGCAAGGCCCAGAGCGCAGCGCAAGACTGAGGACAGCCCAGAGTCCTGTGAGATATAAAACATATTTCGGTGAACTCCCCTCACACCGTGAGGAGAGGGTGGGCGAAAGGAATGCAATAAGGATGACGATTTGAAGGGATAGAGGGGAAGTAACATTTATCTGTATCTTGTTGCTTCCAGACTAGTTGGAGGTCCTCTCTGGGTTTAAAGAGGGATTTGGGTTCCTTGCTGTTGGGCCCTGTTGGGGACCAGGGTTTGACGCCGGAATGGTGGATCCAGGCTTCACTCTGACTGCTGCTGGAGTGGCTAAAGTCGCCGTATGCAGGCCTTCCAAGCCTGGCTCGAACAAGCACTTGGCCCCGCTGGGGTGAAAGGGGACAGGCTGGTTATTTGGGGGCTGGGAGTTAGGAAGCTCCTTCCAAGAGGGATAGTGATTCCGTTATCACTCTGAAGGGACCGGGGGAGTCCAACCCAAGGGATTGACCAGTGTCTTTACCACTGCCGAGGCTTTTCCGGTTTTACAGGGGAAGGCCTCAGTCCAGGGCATGGAGGGATCATCTACCCACACCAGGAGGTACCGTAGCCATGCATTTTAGACATGGGTGACATTCATTTGCTGATCTTCCCCGGGGGAAGTTCCCACTTGCTGTGTGCCTCCGGGGAATTGTGAAGGGGGGAATGGGTTCTCCTTTGGGCAGACTCCACACGTCTTTAACATGTTTTTAATAGTCCTATCTAAATTTCTCCCTGTAAAGAGTTTGGGGGTCATTTGTAGGGTTTTATCTTTGACCTAAACGGTAGGTTTGGTGTAGGGTTTTAGGATCTTTCATGGGTTAGCGGCTCTGCCTGTTGACTGCGAGGGTATAACCCTGTTCTGTGGCCAGTTGTGTTTTCTCAACTGAACAGCAGAGTCTTTCCTGGGTTACGGAGCCATCCCTGATGTGGGGGAAGGGAGGGGAGGCGGCAACCAGAGGGGTCTCTGACCTGACAGCCTATTTTGCTACAGCCTCAGCCAATCTATAACCCTCCATTCCTTTTTTGTGCCCTTTGTAGTGTACACCTGCTACTTCTGGGGTTTGTGTACAGCTTATAGAACCGTGTGAATTCCTGATGATACTTTAGGAGAACCTGAAGCAGTTAGAACACGTCTCTCTCCACACTGTACCATGGCACAATGGACGAACAGGACGGTGTACCCGGAGTCAGCACGGACTGTTTTGCCCTTCCTGCGATCCACAGCTGCGGCGAGGGCCCTCAGCTCAGCCCGCTGGGTGCCTGGCCCAGGTGGGAGAGGGTTACTCTCTATTGTTTCATAGAAACTTCTAGCCTCTCGGGTGTCCTGTTCAACAAACGAGCTCCCATAGAAAATAAAGTCCATTCTGGATTTTCTGCTGGGGTTTCTTTCTTTCTTTCCTTCTTTTTCTTTTTTTAAAGATTTTATTTATTTATTTGACAGAGATCACAAGTAGGCAGAGGCGGTGGGGGGGAAGAAGGCTCCCTGCCAAGCAGAGAGCCGGATGCGGGGTTCGATCCCAGGACCCTGAGATCATGACCTGAGCCAAAGGCAGAGGCTGAACCCACTGAGACACCTAGGCGACCCTCCTCTTGAGATTTTTAAAAGCTTTTTCTGACTCTGGATCCCATATGAACAGATGGACACAGGCCTCCTGGGTGTCCTTGATCAGCTGACAGAGGAGGCATGCTATTTCTCCACGTCCCAGTATCCACGAGTGTCCTGTTACACCCAAAAAACCTTCTCCGGCCAGAGAAAGTTGTGGGGCCCTTAAGATATTTGGGAACGGGCACTGTTAAGGCCCGGCCCACTTCAGCCTGAGTTGTCCGGACCTGGGAATTAAGAGAAGTGTGGGGCTCCCAAGCATTAAGAGTGAGAGGAAATTAGATCTCCCCAGGTGCATCCCAGAAGGCGAGAAGAAAAGTTGGCTTACGGGTCACCCAGTGACGCCCTTGATGACAACACTGCAGTTAAAAAGTTGGCCTGGAGTGGAGAGCAGAACGGAAAAGGTGTTATCAAGAAGGAAATCAATTGGTTTCCCTTCTATTTCCAGAATTACCAGAGGTGCTGGGTTCCCTGGGGTTAGCTGTGGCTCCCGGGCCCCAGCAGTCCCAGTCAGGGGCACTGGCCATCTGAGCCCTCGAAGACTGAGGTCCCTGAGGGCATTCAGATTTCCAGTGTCCCCCTCTATTCGTGCAACAATGGTTACAGGGCCTCGGTTTTTGCCACGGGGGGCATTTTCACATCAGTGTCCCAGGCAGCCACAGAAATGGCATCTGTGCCAGAGTCTTGGGAGGTCACAACCAAAGCCTCAGACTTCCTGAAGCTTCTCTTCCTCACTCTCTCCTCTTGGTCCCGACTGTGAAAGACCCATTAGCAGTTCGTTAGAGCTCTTCTAGGGTCCCCTCAGGGCCAGCAGTCAAGTTTTGCAGCTTTTTTTCCAAATAAGAATGATATTGGCCTCAGGGACAACCAGGCGGGGGAGACAGAGGTGTATTTAATGAGATTCTCTCACGCTTAAGAAAAATTGTTGGGGGGCGCCTGGGTGGCTCAGTGGGTTAAAGCCTCTGCCTTCGGCTCAGGTCATGATCTCAGGGTCCTGGAATCGAGCCCCGCATAGGGCTCTCTGCTCAGCAGGGAGCCTGCTTCCCCCTCTCTCGCTCTGCCTGCCTCCCTGCCTACTTGTGATCTCTCTCTGTCAAATAAATAAATAAAATCTTTAAAAAAAAAAAAAAAAAGAAAAATTGTTGGGTTTTCTTCCTGAGTTTGGGTTGACAGTTTTATTTGCCAGCAGACCCAGACATCCTCTACCAGAGACTTCGAAAGCTACCTTAACAATTGCCCTTGAAAACTTTGAGACACACAAGATTAACCATTTTTTATCAACAGACCCAAACAGCCTTTGAAAGCATAAACAGATACCCAGTTATCAATGCTTTAGCCCTTTGGAAAAGACCGAGATGTAATCCCATTTATCATTCAAACAAAACTTTCTTAACATTATGTCCCATGAAAAGCTTTTGAGACAGTCAAGATTAACCACCATCTTAAGGCGAGCTTTTTTGACCTTCAGCAAACCAAGACAGGATCACTCCTAGCTCGAAACCTCATGAGCGCAGGACAGGTGAGTAGATGCCGTGGTTTTTTCCCCCACCAAAGTGGAAAGAGGCAGGCCATGTCAGGCAGTCCAAATTCAGGAATTTCCCTGAAACAAAGGGAGTTTGGGGAGCTGCTTGGAAATATCCTTCAAGTCTCCGTCCTGAGGGAGACTAACCACATCTGACTCCAACTGTACCCATTAAGCCGGGAAATGAATGAGGTAGAAACCCCCATAGACCGCTCAGTCCCTCTAGGATATGAGCTTGGGAGTGACCGCGATACCAATTTCCAAGGAGATCCTTAGGATCCTAACTGGGCTCTTAAGGAAGTAGAGCTGGGACTCCTGTTGGAAACTGAAGCCACCCATGGGCTCACCCATCCCTTGACACCCGTATCTTTCAACAGTGGCCAGAATCCCACATTTTCCTGCTTCGGAGAGGATCTGATTTAACGGAAGGATTATGCTCAAGTTTGGAAAACTTTGAGGTTCCCCCTTCATCTCAGGTCTTGTAGCAGCCCCTCCCCTTGATCTCCCTTGGAGCACTCCCTGTTCTTAGAGACGGTGAAACCCTCGAGCACCAGCAGGGGTTCCCAGATAGGGTGGGACAGGTACAGGGACCTGATCTTATGCTAGGAAGGCTAGAGGCAGGAGTGGAGATTTCCCCTGCAGACTCCATTTGCCTATCAAGATTCTTTTTTAAGATTTTATTTTTTTATTTGACACACAGAGAGAAAGATCACAAGTAGGCAGGCAGGGAAATATGGGGAAGCAGGCTCCCCACCGAGTGGAGAGCCCGATGCAGGGCTCGATCCCAGGATCATAAGATCATGACCTGAGCTGAAGGCAGAGCCTTAACCTACACTGAGCCACCCAGGTGCCCAGCCTACCAAGTTTTGATGTGGATGTGGTATCCCTTTTTTTCCTCCCAGAGTCGGGGTGGGGAGGTTTCCAGAAGAAAGCCACCAGGAGCCTGGGATTGATCCTACAAAGCTGAGATCAGAACAAAAGAAAATGAGCCACCTTTTCCCAGTTAAAACCAGGAAGGCAAAGTCCTTCAGGTGGCCAAGTCTCGTCCTCCAACTTGTATTGCGGCCATGCCCCAGAACAAAAGAAAATGAGTTGCCTTCGTCCAATTAAAACCAGGAAGGCATCCAAGTAAACAAGATTGGGCAATTTATGGGGCTGATACTCTTTCTATGGCCTATAATGCCAGGAAGGGGCTCTAAAGGAGTAAAGGTCTTGGTCGGGGAATTACCCATCTACAAGAGGAGAGGAAAGGCGTCCCTTACCTCATTTTCTTATAGTTGATCAAGGAGACTTGGGAAGAGAGGAAAAGGCACCCCCCCACCTCAGTTTCTCCTCATTTTTTCCTGATGTGTGGCCCTAGCGACTCCTGCGACTGACAGCCAGAGCCCCTGTCCTCTCTCTGAGGTGCTGGGAGGAGCTGACTTTTACCCAGGCTTCGTTCTACCTCCAGAGAGTGACCCTGGTTTCCCCACCCTGAAGCCTCCCTTAGAAGTCAATGCATACACTAGATTTCTTTAAGTGTTCTGTCTGGCATAGCCACCGAATCGTCTTTTAGTAGAACTGCTCTGTCTGGCAGAGCCACATGAAGGGACAAGATAGGACACCCAGGGAGGGGAAATCCACCTGGGATAAGACCCAATGGGACCGAAAAGTCGGGGAGCATCCCCTAGATTACAGTTCTTTTGTGCTGCTTGGCCATTCCTGCACATAGCTGCTGT